CATGATGCCCGTACACACCTTCTTGCTGCTTTCGCAGTCGACTTGGCGGTGGGCAATACCGTCAAGGGTAAGCCCATCAAAGCAGCGACCATTGGCAACTACCTTCGAGATACAGCTACCCTTCTTGGAAACTTCTGTGGTCGAGATCCCCGCTACACTAATCGCTCTGACAATGAGTTGGCGCTTCCCATCCGCGCTGTTCTGAACGAATGCAAGCGTCATGAGAATATGCCTCATCGAGTCGACCCCTATACAATTGAGATGCATACCACCTTGGTGGCTCTGAATACCGCTACAACCGCACATATGGATGGTTTACACCGTGCTATGGAAAATTGGTTTAACCTGAGTACCTATTTAGGTTTTCGCCTTCGCGAATGGGCCCAGGAGGATGATTACCGTCGCTTGGCTTCCGGTGGCGAAATTGCCCCGAATGGTAGGAAACGCGCTTTCACTCTTGATGACATTCGTTTGTTCGACTCGGGAAACCGTCCTGTTTCGATTGCTGAGTTTATCAAGAACTCTGATGCAGTGGCCCGCTCCAATGTCAAGTTCTCTTGGCAAAAGAACCACGATCACGGTGAGGAAAAACTGCTTTCCAGCAATCCTCGTAACCCTTCCCGTGACGCTCTGCGGAGTCTCCATAACATTGTCAGCCGATTTGCACGGATTGTCGGTCTGGATAAGACCGATACCCCACTTGCAGTGTACAAAGGATCCTTTGGTGAAAAGTTTTTCATCCACAGCAAAGTCATTGCTTCCACCCTTCAGACCTTGGCCAAGAAGACTTACAACCTGACTGATCGCGATCTTCAGCGACATTACAAATATACGTCCCACTCTCTTCGAGCTGGGGCGGCAGTGATCCTTCACGCTGCGGGTATCAACGCTATCCAGATCAAATTTCTCTTGCGCTGGCGCTCTGATTCTTTTTTCCTTTGCCTTCGCAATGTTGCACACCTTTCGGAGCAACAAAACCGGGCAATTAACCAACTTGCCTCGGCTACTCAGTCTGAAGTGACTGCAGCTCGCGCTGCTTCTCGACTCATACCAAACATTGTTTAGACACACAATCCCATCTACTACTCTCCTCCTATTCTCCTTTCTTCCTTCCTCCTCCCTTCTCCGTTTTTTCCTTTCCACTTTGTCTTTCTCCCTTTCTTTCCTTTCCCTCCTTTTGCTTGCTTTCTTGGGGACTATCCTTCATCTTCTTCAAGGGGTTCGTGATCCGTCCCTACCTTGCAATCGGGTGGTCCCGGTTCGTCTTCGCCGCGCTTTCCTCTCCCAACAACACATCGGCTACCAAGGTTTATTGGAAGGCCGGCTGTCTGTTCAGTGGGCGGCCCTACAGGAACAGTACCTTCAGTCACGAGGGAGCCAACGCTCTCCAACCCTGTGGGTCTCCCGCCTGTCGCATCAGCTGATCTTGCTTGGATTTCATATGTGGGAACACCGGAACTCGGTGCAACATTTGGAGGACAACGTACAGCTACGCGAACGTAGCCAATTGGTGAACGACGGGATACACTCTCAGTTTGATATGGGCCCAACCGACCTCCCCAAGGTACTAGTTCAACGCATGCTCGCTGTGAAACGCCGAACAGTGTTGAAGAAGCCGCTGGTCGATAGGGAAGAGTGGCTGAAGTTGGTTAGAATGGAAGGCACGGCCTACCGCCGAGCTCTGGCGCCTCAACGCCGTATCCTTCACCGCTTCTTCCACCCGGCCCAGGCCCCCTAATCCCGTTTCGAGGAATCAACGCCCCGAAATCACCCCGCCTTGTCGCGGGTAGAGTTGGGATCCTCTCGATCCTGACTAGAGCAACTTCTGTCCACCAGATGTCTCCAATGGTTCAAACTAGTTGTTGACTCGTCGCTTCACGGTACTTGACCTTTACAGCCGATTCTTCCACCGGCAATCGTATGCGATAGATAGCATTTTTAATGGATTAATGTTTCAGTTATTATTATTATTATTATTATTATTATTATTATTATTATTATTATTATTATTATTATTATTATTATTATTATTATTATTATTATTATTATTATTATTATTATTATTATTATT